CTGGATCCCTTGACGATGGTCAAGGCAGGTGTGCATACTCTAACTCAGTTGCAGATACAATGATAGACACTGTCAGCAAAGGGCCCCAATGCAAAAAAATTTTTGAGCCCTGCTTCTTCATTTAATTAAGGGAAGCAATTACAGCATTATAAAGAATTCTTATCTGCCCTAAGGGCCGGTTCACATCAGAACTGTCCGGGAAAAGCATGTTCCGTACGTATTCCTGCACCACATTCAAAACATACTGCCTTTGCGTTCTGCTGCAGGTGCCAATACATTGTTACATAGTTAGTCTGGCTGAAACAAGACAAGACAAAAGTCCACCCAGTTCAATCATAAAACAAAAAAAAAATTATAATCCTACACCTACAGTTGATCCAGAAGAAGGCAAAAAAAAACAGCAAAGCATGATCCAATTTGCTCCTGCAGGGGGAAAAAATTCCTTTCTGATCCTCCAAGAGCCATTCGGATATTCCCTGGATCAACTTTACCTATAAATGTTAGTAACCAGTTATATTCTGTGTATCTAAGAAACAATCCAGGCCTTTTTTTAAAGCAATCCTCTGAACTTGCCAGAACCAACTCTTGAGGGAGTCTATTCCACATTTTCACAGTTCCCCTTGTTCTCTGTGATGACCTCAAGGTGAATAACTCTTCCCCGAGTTCACTATATGAACCACTGATGTATTTATACATGTTGATCATATCCCCCCTTAATCTCCTCTTCTTAAGAGAGAATAAATTCAGTTCCTCTAATCCATCCTCATAGCTGAGCTCCTCCATGCCTCTTATCAGTTTGGTTGCCCCTCTTTGTACTTTCTCCAGTTCCCCAATGTTCTTTTTGATAATTGGTGCCCAAAATTGAACTGCATATTCCAGATGAGGTCTTACTATTGATTTGTACAGGGGTAATATGATATCTCTCTCTCTGGAGTCTATACCTCTTCTTATACAAGAGAGGATTTTGCTTGCTTTAGAAACCGCATCTTGGCATTGCATGCCATTATTAAGCTTGTAATCTACCAGAACTCCCAGATACTTCTCCACCATTGATTCCCCAAGTTGTACCCCCCTAGTATGTATTATGCACACATATTCTTAGCCCCCAAGTGCAGAACCTTACATTTATCAACATTAAACCTCATTTGCCACAGAGTTGTCCAATTAAACAGTGCATTGAGGTCGGCTTGTAAGTTGAAGACATCCTGTAAGGACGTTATTCCACTGCACAGCTTGGTGTCATCTGCAAAGATTGAAATGGGATTTTTAATCCCAAACCCTATATTGTTTATAAATATATTAAAAAGTAAGGGCCCCAACACTGAACCTTGGGGTACATCACTGACAACCCTAGACCATTCAGAGTATGAATCATTAACCACTACTCTCTGAATACAATCTTTTAGCCAGTTTTCTAACCATTTACATACTGATTTTTCCACGCCCATAGACTTTACCTTACACATTAGCCATGTGTGGGGAACTGTGTCAAACCCTTTTGCAAACTCCAAGTATACCACATCCACCACCACCCCCCTGTCTGAGGTTTTGCTCACCTCCTCATAAAAAGAAATCAAATTTGTTTGACAACTTCTGTCTTTCATGAATCCATGCTGTCTGTTGCTTAAAATATTTTTTTCCAGCAAGAACTCATCTATGTAGTCTTTTATTAAACTCTCCAGTATCTTCCTAACCATAGATGTTAAACTAACAGGTCTATAATTACTTGGTAAAGGTTTTGACCCCTTTTTAAATATTGGCACCACATTGGCCTTACGCCAATCCAGTGGTACTATGCCAGTCATTAAAGAGTCCCTAAAAATTAGAAACAATGGCTTTGAAATGACAGAGCTCAATTTTTTAAGGACCCGTGGGTGTATGCCATCCGGCCCAGGTGCTTTATTCACCTTTATTCTGTCTAAATATTTGAGGACCATATCAATTGTGAGCCAATGTGGATCATCTGGAGCTGTGTCAATACTATGCCCATTATGGACAAGAGCTCCTCTATGCTCCTTTGTATACACAGAGCTGAAGAAGGTATTTAATAAATGTGCCTTCTCTTTGTCCCCAGTCACCCACTCTAGATTATTTTGTAAAGGGCCTACATGCTCGGACCGAACCTTTTTACTATTAATATATTTGAAGAATTTTTTGGGTTTGTCCTGCTATCTTTTGCAATCTGTCGTTAGTTTTCAATTGTTGTGGCCTTTATTTCCTTTTTGCATATTCTGTTATATTCTTTGTAATGTTTAAACAAACAATGATAGTGTTCCTTCATTTTTATATTTAATAAAAGTTTTTTTCCTTTTATCTATAGCTTTTTTAACTTTGGCTGTAAGCCACATAGGTTTGTTAAGGGCACCCCAAACGCAGCGTGTTTGCGGGCAGCAGTACCATGCGATCTGGTAGGGCACGCTCTTAAAAAGTAGTGCATGCACTAATTTTTGTGCAATCCAGTGAATTTCATCCCATTGAATGGACTGAAAATCGCACTACAGAGGAACACACAGGAATCGTACACGAATGTGCATTACGTGCCTGTGCAATTCTGGTGTGAACTGGCCCTGAATGTGAATAATGCCCAGAGCTACAGGATAGCAGGGAAGGAGTCCCAACAACCACATGACATCTCATGTAAATTGGCTCCTATATCCTAAAGGGTCTTTGTGCAGTTGCACAGTTTGCACATATAGTTCACCTTCCCCTATGCAGACATCTCACTAGGAAAGAGAAATAGGAAACTGTTAAGTGGTATAACTCCAGCACCTACTGAAAAAAAAACACCAACATTAAGCTGGACTGTCCTTTAAATTAGTGCTTAGGTCTACACTAAGTTCCTGGCAACTATACCAGAATCTATAACGTAAGCAGATGGTACTAAGATGGAACTCAAGAACCCAATGGAATAATAAACATCCTCTATATATTAGATTTAGTAGTTTGATGATGTATATACAAGTAAATGTCTGGCAGCAGCACTGAAAAACATATGGGATACCAAAAAGCACATACTTTGCATACCAAATGCTTTTGAAATTGCCATTGCTGAAATTGTTTCTGCTGTTTCTAAAGTTATGAAGTTATGTGGCACCATGTATAGTTAGCCTAATGCATGAAACCTTTGACTTGAATGAATTTAAAACATCCACCCTCCAGATGCCCTTCAATCCCACACAACAAAAGCACACAAGAAAATGTAAAGGTGCATATAAACCTTAGCTGAATATTTAATTTGTGAAAGCACTGTGTTTCAAAAAAAAAAAAAAAAAAAATCTGTTTTTTCAAATAAAATATAGTTTTCACCTTTTCTCATCCTTTTGTGCATCTCAGAGTAGCTGATGTCATGCAGCCTGTTTACACTCCTTCCTGTCTACAAGTTATACACGTCAGCGATGGCTCCTTGGCATTTTCCAGGAATATGGTATATACTTATGTAATGTGCATTAAAATAACCACTTGTAGTCTCCACCATAGAAGTCCATGTTATAGAGTGACAACCTAGGATAACAACTTTTTAAATTACCGTATTTTCCGGCGTTTAAGACGACTGGGTGTATAAGACGACCCCCTAATTTTCCAGATAAAACATAGGTTTTGGGCTATACTCGCCGAATAAGACTACCCCCCTTCCGAGGCAACTCCATTTAAAAACATCAGATTTTTTTAATTGAAATGGTTATGACTTACCGGCACTTAAAATCCTTCAAAATCCTCATGTTCATCCTCTGACATCATAAGTTCATGAATGACATCTTGTGATACATTTGTAAGACAGTCATCATATGGATCAAATTACAAATCAGATGGCTACCTCTGGATGTGCGGTAATACGGTAGCTTCGGCTACATACAGTATACAGTACATATACAGCCCACTGGATGTGCGGTAATACGGTAGTTTCGGCTACATACAGTATATATACAGCCCGCTGGATGTGTGGTAATACTGTACATACAGTATACCGCGCTGAGCCAAACTGGCTCAAAACAAATGTCCCTATGACAGATTAATATGTCAGCCCACTGGATGTGCGGTATATACAGTATACTGAGCCAAGCTGTTTCAAAACGTACGGTAATCAGACCGCTGGATGCGTGTATGTACAGCAGCTGAGGCTACATACAGTATACGCTGGGCCAATCACGGTGAGCAATGTATTCTACTAATGAATACAAAGCCTGCTCGGATTGGCTGAGGTTGTGACATCATCAGCCCACCTCTCTGACAGCCAATCTGAGCAGGCTTTGTATTCATTAGTAGAATACATCACTCGCTGTGATTGGCCCAGTGTATACTGTATGTAGCCGCAGCTACCGTACATAACGCATCCAGCGGGCTGATTACAGTAGGGACGTACCGGTACGTTTTGAAACCACTTGGCTCAGCGCAGTATACTGTATATAACCACACATCCAGCGGGCTGACATATTAATCTGTCATAGGGACATTTGTTTTGAGCCAGCTTGGTTCAGCACAGTATACTGTATGTACAGTATTACCACACATCCAGCCAGCTTGACCCAAACAAACTCAAGGTTCACATTTTATACCCCGCGTATAAGACGACCCCCAATTTTTGGAGTATATTTTTAAGTATAAAAAATAGTCTTATACGCCAGAAAATACTGAGGGCAGTTCACACTACAAAAACGCACTACGGATGCATTCCGGTTATGTTTTTGCTTACAGTTCACACACCACACGCAGTTCCAGTGCAGTTTTTGATGTAGTTTGCTATGTTCCAGTATGGTTCTGTGCAGGAAAAAAATGCAGGATATTCTACTTTTTTTTTTATACACTGGAAACTGACTAGAACTGACTGCACTGGTGTGAACTAGGGCCATTGGAATACATGGAAAACACTGTGCATGCATTTTTGATGCACTGGACTGCATCTAGAGTGAACTAGCCCTAAAACATTGATGCTTATTTAGGAATTTAGTGATTGTGTTTACATAAACTGTAGAAGCGTATGAAGCTGTTTATACAACATTTACCTGCACAAAAAATCCTCAGCTGTTGGATAGGTGACACCAGCTGGAGATGTGTGGTGAAAAGATCAACAAATGCTCCAGGATACACCACGAACACGAACATCCCAAAGCCATTAAATCGGACCGTTTCTCTGCAGTGTGGGAGTTAAAATATTTTTTATTAGTAATCATCACATAGTTATGAATGTTAATGTTCCTTTTGACATGCTTCAGAAACCATTCTAAAAACAAGATGGCTCATAGATCTCACCGCACAGCAAAAATAACAACAGTATGAAACAGTAGGGGTCGATTTATTAATGGAATATAGACAGAATAACCAGCTAAGGCAGAAGTGAAATGCACATAAGGTACCTGTAGCCCCCTATATCTCCAACTTCCCACAATAATCGGATATATAGCATATTTCTGGACCCCCAGGAGCAAAGAAATGTGTTATTCCTGTCTGCTGTACCAATATACAGTGAGTATAGAAAAGAATCACCCCCCTTTAAAATAATCACATTTTACTGGTTTACAGCCTGAAATGAAGACAGACACAGTTTTTGTTTTATCCAGATGTTTTTACTTAACATAAAGCTTACCTGTAGGTAAAATGAATATAACGTGCACCGTTTAGGAGATATTCGCTGTTTGACAGCCGTCTCATGCGCTCTGAAGGAACGACATTCCCGTGCCATTCCTTCAGAACACTGTGTCCTGGCCCTAGAATTCTGTGCGCATGTACGGGAGTGACGTCATCGAGGCTTCACCAGTCAGGTGAAGGAGCTCGTGAACTCGGAAGACCGGAAGATGGTGGAAGCCTCTGCAGCGAGGACAGAGTACCGCTGGATGGCTTCGTTTTAAGGTAAGTCCTTCCTATTGTGCTAGTATGCGTTGCATTCTAGCACATTATGACATTACTTTTTTTTTTCAAGCTGTGGTTTACTAACGCCCTAACCACTTCACACCCTTATGACGTACCTGGTTGAAATAGTTGAACATGGCTGCCCAGTACCAACATTTTTAATCGGCGATGAGCTTTAATGTAGAAGTGATCCGAGCGGCCCTACAGCCACCAGATCACTTCTACAGGATGCAGAAGGGGGCCCCTTGCCCTTCTTGCAGCTTTTACCTGGCTTTACCATGCACTGGAGAGTCTGGGACCACTGCTATAGGGTGTCCTGGAGAACACAGAGCGGAGGAAGGTACATCTGTACCCGCTGCCCCCACGAGATGTGAGAAACCGGAATCTACGAGGATTTTGTCACTTCTGGTTTGATTTGATGTGTACAGGCCGTTAACAGGCTTGTAAAGCATCTGATCAAACCTAACTCATTTTGATGCTTTTGAATGCGGAGGAGACATCCGGGGTCTAATAGACCACAGAACTCTAGGTAAAGAGTACCTGTCACTGCCCATGCTATCACAAGTGATGTTTATCCCTTGTGATAGCAATAACATTTATCAGAAAAAAAAGGCGCATTATTGTAACATGTTACACCTTAAATGCAGATATAACATGTAACATATTACAAAGGTGAAGTCATTCATCATAGCACAGCCGGAGTATGCCAGGAATGCATGCCAAGCTGTGCATGTGCATTCAATAGAAGACTGTGGACAGGCAGGTAAGTGTTTTTTTATTGCAGAAGGGACAATGCAAGTCTCTTCTCCAATAAAGCATTGCCTACTGGCAGTTTTTTAACATTTAAGTTTAGTTCCAATTTAAATCATCGGGCTCAGTTCTGCTTTTAAAGTCTGTCTAAAGCCAAAACATTTTGTTCACTTTGAACAGAGTAGGGAAGGGTTAAAACGGCTGTCAGTATTTGTTGCCATTTGTGTCTAATTAGAGAGATTTCATTTCACTTCCTATTCTGTGGGCTCAACAGGAAGTGGAAAGGTGTTTTTCCAATGCAAGGGAGATAACCTATTAGACATATGTGACGGAAACATGTGTTGCAATTGGAAGATTTCTCTGCTATTCCTGTTCTGGGGGCAACTCAAAATTTAGAATTTAACTTAACTATTTTCAATTAGGACAATTAGATAGAGTAAATCTCCGTAATGGAGACCCACAGAGCAATAAACACCTGACAGTGGTTATAACATAGACATTATTGCCATAAAAGTATAATGTATAAAATAATGATACTTACATAAACCCTAATAACAAAAACAAAATAAATGCTATTTTGGTAAAATTTCACTAGAATAACTAAAAACCTGAAAAAATAGGCAGAGAAAGAAGGTTTTAGTAATGACACAATCGCAAATAAATATTTTATCCTGTTTACACTGCTGGCCAACCGTGTGTTAAATATTCATGTGAATACAAAGACGCTCCGAGTTTTGCCCAGCACACAAAGGGGAAGATCGCATTACCTTACGGCTGCCACTCCATGTCCAATCTCATGTATGACACCACTGATGAAAATCGCCGAGAAGAAGTATGTCAGCTGGCTGATGGGAAGGTTTACACCCGGCACCTGTTCGAGTCAGTAAGGAGACAAAACATTAAATATGAGACGCTCCTATGGATACATTATTCTGGACAGAAGACCAGCTGAAATGACAAATGGATCTTTACATCTACACAGACAGTCTCCATCTGCATTGCTACAATGCGCTGAACAGGAGAGGAATTTCAAACATCAACATCAAATTATGGATACATGAACCAATTAAATACATATTTCACCTAAAATATAGTATACAAAGCAAACTGGAAATAAAAGGGCACAGTAGGTAAAAATCAAACTAAGAGATGGATTAACCTCTCACACCATATCTAAAGCTTCATCTTAGGCTTTTGAGGTTAAAATATATAAATTTAATATCAAACCAAAATTCGGATAAAAAAAGCACCATTTATTTCCATTACCTATTCAAGAAAAAATAATTCAAACCATTTTTTATTACAACTAGTACAAGTATCAGAACTAGACTGAGAAAGGGTAGGTCAATACTAGTCATCGCTCATGCTTTGCTACAGTGCTTTCAGTCCAAGGGCTCATGTACAAAAAGGGGGGGGAAGACAGGCACATGGAATAAGAAATCTGCAGTCTCTAGGCTAAATGTGGGATCAGGAGTTGGCGGAGGAACAAACGGTCTGAGACACCTGGCGAGCTGTGTGTGAAGCAATGACTCTGGAGTGGATGAGAAGAGAAATCTATGTTTGAGAAAGGAGCGCGCCGGTGCTCAGAAACGCGTCGCATGTCCATGATGTCACACGCCATCGCCGCTGCTCCCAAACACACAGGAATCTGCCAGGCTTTCATCTTCAGGCTCCAGCACACCCTGCTGTCCAGCCAGAGTCCACACAGACTTGCTAGGCTTACACTACAGCAGGGGTGTCCAAACTATGGCCCTCCAGGTGTTGAGGAACTGCAAGTCCCATGAGGCCTTGCAAGACTTGCAGCTGGAGGGCCACTCCTGCACTACAGACTCCATCCTGACACCTTTCCAGTGCTGCCTGCTGTCCAGCTGGCCATCCTGTTCCATGCTCCAGATAACAACTCCGGGCGTTGTGCCTCGTTTAACCCCTTATGAGCCTACTTTTACCTCCTACATGTGAGTGGTTTTATTTGTGTTCACCATTAAATATCTTACAGTCTACACTCAGAGGCGCTGTGTTTCTCTTCTCAAGGGCTCATGTACACCTGCTTTTACAGGCGTTGGAGTTTTTTTTTTCCCTATGCCTCTAAAAACTCCTTCTAGGCGGCAGGGGCGCTTAGAGGTGAAAAAAAAAAGAATATATTTTTAAAAAAAAAAATATATTTTTTAAATATATTCTTCAGATTTTTTTTAACATAAAGTAATATTAACATATATTTTTATACATATTTGTAAATGCATTCCAAAAATGTAGTAGATTTGTATCTTTAAAGACATACAGTATATTTGAAATGGATTTTTGAAAATATTTTTCATATATTTTGTAATAAAAACGCATTTCAGCATGCAGTATATATATTATTATTATTACATCGAGTTTATATAGCGCCAAAGGGTTTGCTCAGCGCTGTACAATAGAGGGGGGACAATACATGAAACAGTACAGCAACTACAAACAGCACACGAGGGGTTAGAGGGCCCTAATCTTTCGAGCTTACAATCTAGGAGGGAGGGGGTAGTGGTACAGGAGGAAGTGGCGGTGGGGGGTGGAGTGGTAGGGGGAATGAAGGAGGACGGCTGTTAGGTAAGGGTGGGGTAGGCTTCCCTGAAGAGGTGGGTTTTCAGGGAGCGCCTGAAGGTGAGGAGGGAAGGTGATATTTTATGTTATTTATATATTTCAGGTACTTATATAGCGCCGTCAATTTACGCAGCGCTTTACACATATATATTGTACATTCACATCAGTCCCTAACCCTCAAGGGGCGTACAGTCTAAGGTCCCTAGCTCACATTCATACATACACATACTAGGGCCAATTTAGACAGGATCCAATTAACCTACCAGAATGTCTTTGGAGTGTGGGAGGAAACCGGAGTACCTGGAGTAAACCCACGCAGTCACAGGGAGAACGTGGTGCCGTGGTTGGGATTCGAACCAACGACCCTAGTACTGCCGAGCGGAAGTGCTAACCATTTAGCCACTGTGCTGCCCATATATTTTGAAATATATTGAATATGGCCAAAATTGTAGCATTTCAAATATATGGCGATATATTTTGAAAGAATATTTTTTAAATATATTTCAAATATATTTTTCTTCCATGTGGGGAAGTGAAAGAAAAATACTAAGAAAGGTAGCGTTTATCCTTGAACTTAATATGTATTACCCCAATTTCCCTGACACAATACATAGTAATGTAAAAAAAGCACATAAAATGTTTCCAAAGACAAGTACATACAGCTTAACAAAATGTAGCAATAGCAATAGGAGAGAGACCTGCCCACACAAGCTTCCAATCTAGAACCTCAGTATTTATCACTGTACTTCCCTCTTGTGATAAATTTTATTCCTCCTCTTTAAGTGCAGATGGCTTAACACCATCCTTTCTCTAAGTATATGGCTCCATGCACACTGGGCATTTTAATGCAAAGTCACATTAAAAACATGAGTTTTTCAGCATTTTTGTATTAGCGTTTAGCGGCATTTTGCCACGTTTGCGTTTTTTAGGGGGGTTTTTTTGTAAAAAAAAAATCCAAAAATGCTGGTTTGCCACGATTTACAGCGTTTTTCAACATTAGAGTGTTTTTTACAGCTACAAAACTCCTCTAGAAACCCACTAGTTCTGGGGTTTTTTTCAGCTAAAAAAACGCTGATTACAGTCTATGTGTACATGGACACATAGGATAACATGCTGGGGAGTTTACTGGCTGTAGAAAAAAAAACGCCAAAAACAGCAGCTGTAAAAACGTCCAGTGTGCATGAGGACTTATCTGCAACCAGGCAGTTCCATATCTCCAGATCCATCTGATACTGTTGGCACACTTTAGAGGTCAATGACATTGCTGTACTTCTGCATAAAAATTCATATATTTCCTGCTTCATTTACATTTTCATAAAGATACAGACAGCCTGCACAGTGTCATTTTAGCTTTAGGTGGCTTGCAACACCATAAAAAAGAATAGTATGTTGTAAAATTCAAATGACAAGTAATGAAGAAATAACTTGTGTACTTCAGTATTTAGTAGATCGCCTTTTCCGCACCTTTTGTATTTAGTAAAGGTGTGTGTCACTCCCATCTAAATATAAAATACGCTTAACTGGGCTTCTTTTTCTGCTTTTTTTCTATTTCTAACCCATTAATGCCAGCAGGCGTCTCCAATTTAAAAAGCTCATAATGCCCCAGGCTGGTAGGAGGGGCCCCCAATTGTGCAGCACTGTGATTAGCCATACCATGGTGACATCATCAGAAGCCTGTCCTATCTGATCATTAGTGGTTGATTGTAAGCTGTCTGTGACAGCTCAGTCACAGTTCTGGGAGAGACAAGGCAGCACGCCCCAGAAACAGACAGCAATGCAAATATGCAGTGACTGGACACTGAGCTCAACCACCCTGCCACCACATAGATGTGCATTGCTGTCATAAACGGGTTAATGTGAAAGATGTAAAAGATCTATGTGGCGGCCTAATGAATGGCTATCTTTCCTTATAACACTCTTTGCTGGATTGAAATGCAACATAGAAGACTATGTGCATTAAGTGTGTGGGGATTCTTAATACCAAAATGACCCCTTTTTGCAAAGTAGACAGTCCGACGTATTTCATAACAGGCATGGCGAGTTTTCTGAAGTTGTAATTTTTTTGTAATTTTTCTGAAAATGAAGAAATTGAAAAAAAAATGATTTTCACTATTTTTTTTTTTACATACTGTCACCAGTGCAGTACAGCGTCATCATATAACTGGCATGGCGGTGATCAGGGACAAAATCAGGGACACAAAATATATAATTTTTTTTTTTTATTATTTTTAATTTTTTATTAATTTTTTTCTTTTTTTAAGATTTTTTTTTTATATTGCACTATGACCAAAGTAGTATAATGTTACCATAGTAACATTGAACTACTTTGGGGAAGTGATCAGTTTTTTTTTTTTTTTTTTTTTTTTTTTTTTTTTTTACACAATTTGCTTATTGCAAAGAATTACTTTGCTATAAGCAAGCATTTACCTGAATGACATCGATTCATTCAGGGTTTTTTTTTTTGTGATTAGCTGTGATTTGGCCACGGCTAATCACATGACACAGCTGGGCAGTGCATTTGATCGCAGTGACCGTTCACAGCTAGACACACTTGTATACAATGGATGGCATGATAGGAAGCCATCCATTGTATACAACTGTCATGTGACCTGCTGTGATTGGTCACAGCTGGTCACATGGTACTGGAAACGAGTCCGGTACACATATCTGTCATCAGAACTGTGCGTTCCGGAGAAGACGCCATATGGTGTCCACCCGGTGGGACTAGCCGTTTGCCCGGCCGCCATCTGGCTGTAGGCCAGGTGGCAACTGGTTAAAAAGAGTCATGTAAAATTTCTAAGCAGTGCAGTCTGGTTCAGGTGCGGATTACAGGCTATTGACTTCTATGGGAACCGTTCCTAAACCGCATGTGTGTGCACAGGATAAGATCCTGAGTTAATCTTGTCCTGAACCTGACGTAAACTTGATGTGAACCTGTGAGCAACTACTGTATCAATTAGCTATGAAACCTGAGCTTCAATCTACACCACACGTGTGAATCAGCTCTTAATTTGGTCAGGACAAATATAAAATATTACAGTTGGTATTTTATTTTGAGCCAGCAGAGGGAGCTCCGAACTCCTTTTCAAACGCTTTCCACTTTCTACTTACCTCCTGTTGTAAAAAGTCCCTCGTTTACAGAGCTCAATAACAAAAGCTGAAGTTTATACACACACACACACAAGTAGAGGAGTTACTCTAATCTAATTGTTTCAGATGGATCCTAATGGGAGAGTCAAGCAGAGACAGTGTCCAAAAAGGAGAAAGCTATCATTACACTCAATTTTTTTGAAA